GCAGGGCTGTCAGCCCACGACATCAGCCAGCCACTTAAAAACAGCTTCATCCACACAGGCCATGGAGACACCAACCCGCAGCACTGCTGGGGGTTTCCCGATAAAATTGATGAGTAAGAAACTTTTTGTCTTCTCTGCACCCTCTGCCTGCTCTCTCCCTTCCCCGCTGCCCACTGGGCTCGGGAGCAAGACACAGCTTGGCTGCTGCCCCCCTTTTCCCCATGAAGCATCTCTTTCTGCCCCCACTATGTTTGGGGTGGTGGCTCTGGGTAGGGTTCCTGCAGCTGGACTAACTTCCTTGCCTCTTCCTACTAATGGGCTTAGGGGGCATGGGGGGCTGCTGTGCTTGTGGCTTTCCCAGGGGGAAGATCTTTGTGACTGTCCTGGGGCAGGGAGACATCAGTAAGCACCACCCCAGAGGTGGCCACATTACCCCAAAACACTTTTGGGGTGTCCCAGGGCTGCTAAATGTGCGCGGCTTGCAGCCTGTCCCCACGCTTCTAACAGCATGATTCTTTTTGAAAAGCAAAACATGAAAAAAATCCACCGAAATGATTTTTTTCTCCACCCTGCTCTATCAAAAGACACCTGGCTGGACTGTGATGGGGGGAAGGGGGGCTGGGTGCTTGTGCTTCAGTGTCCCACATGCTCTCTGCCAGGTGGGATTGGTTGTGCAACAGTGAGGATGAGTGCCTTGGCAGGCAGCATGTGGGGGTCCCTCCCAGCACTGGGCTGGAGGGATGTGGGAGGTCAGAGTGGTGGGGGACAGGATAGGATTTCAAAAACTGGAAAGCTCCTGGTGGGTAGGGCCAGCTCCTACGCTAGGCTCAGTCCATCCCCTGGGATCCCGATCCCGATGCTGTTTGTTATCCCAGGCTGGGACAGCTCTGCCGGTCCCTCAGTCCCAGCCTGACCCCTCCGCGGCACCCCGTGTCACGGGCTGTTCCGGCGGCCCGGAGGGCTGAGCCGAGGCGCCGTGCACGCGGCTCTGGCTCGTGCCCCGGCAGGCCTCCCCGCGCCCCACTGCGTGGGCACGGGCGCTGGGTACGTGCTGCCCGGGCTGCCGAGAACGCACCGAGCTCGGCACACGCCCAAGCCTTCGGGCTGCGCCGGCTCCCGCCGGCTCCCCGGCTTGCGACGGCTCGCCCGGGCCCCAGCACCCCGCGGCACCGGGGCACCCTGCCTTGGGCACAGCATCGCCCTGCTGCCGGAGGGCTGTGCCGGGCACCGCACGCTGCACAAGTACCCTGCACACAGCACCCTGCCTGCAGTCCCCTGGGCGCAGCGCAGGCAGCCACAGATGCACGTGGAGCCGGAGATGGGTGGGGTGGCACTGGGATGGCACTGGATGGCACTGGGATGGCACCAGGCTCTGTGCCGTAGCGCTGGAAGCCTGTGGGGTGCGTTGCCCCTGCACTCACAGGTACTCACCAGGTGTGGTTGTGTGGTGGAGGAGCTGTGGGGTGTCCCAAGGCACAAGCCTGGTGAGCAGGGATCCCACGTGGCCCCTGATGACCCCCAGGCTCTCTCCTCTCTCCCCACAGGCTGTACCTGGGAAATCCCTTGGATCCTCCTGATATTTTAGGTGTGGACGCAAGTGCTGCCAGACCTACACAGCTTCCAGGGAGGGCTAAAAGTGAGTAGCTTTTCTCCTTTCTCCTTCCCATCGGCTGCACAAAGCCTCCATCCCTGTACCCCTGCTGCCAGGATGATGGGCTGGATCCTCTCCTTTCTGTCTCTGTGCTGGCACTTGCTTTTTGCAGAGCAGGGGGAGCTGGGGTGATGGGGCGTGTTGTCACCTGGCCATACACCACTGCCAACAGCATGGGCAGCTGGTGGCTCTGCCTGGCTGAACTCTGTCCTGCTGCCCTTTGTCCAAGTCCCTTGTCCCCTGCTGGCCTCCCACAGCTGGGTTCCCCAGTGCAGGGGATCTCAGCGGGGCTGCCACGGGGAGGGAACTCAGAAGCTGTGCATATGCCCCAATCCCCCTAATTCTACAGTTTTTCCTTGGCGGGGCTTTCCACCAGCATCCTCCCCAAGCTCCACCAGTGAGGGGGGACACAACAAAGCATGCACCCCTTAACAAGCACCCTGGCTGCTGCTTCTGTGTTCACCCTGTGCTTCCCCTTCTCTTGGGTTCTGTCTTCTGCAGGGCAGCCTCCTCCTCGCCCACCTCAGCCTACCGTCCTGCTCACCAGTAAGTTGGGCTTCTTTGAGTGCTGCTCTCCCTTCCTCATACCCTCTTTCTTTTCTCTCTTACCTGGGTGGCCTAGGGCAGGTGCCCTAGTATGCCTTGGGAGCAAGGAGGGCTGAAATTATGGGGTGGTTTGGGGGGTTGGAGATGTAGACAGCCCCTTCTTGCACCCTAGGGATGGGTGCTGGGACCCTCACCAACTCTCTTTGCCCCTTCTAGAGCCTTGCTATGACCCAGTTAGTGAGGAGGAGGAGGGTCTGCCAGGGGGTCTCCGGAAGCTCTGCCTGAAGAAGCCAGGCACAGGGAAGGGTCTGCGACCAGTCAAGCCATCAGCCCGAGTACCGGGCACCAAGGTGGGCGAGCGGCAGCCCGGGCGCCTGGCGAGCGAGGGGCCAGCAAGCAGCGAGGTGACTCTCATTGACTTTGAGGAGGAAGTTCCCCAGGGTAGCCCCTCTCCAGTGGGAGATCTGACAGCCCCGTCATTAGTCAAGCTGGCCATGGAGGCCTTCTCTTTGCTGGACAAGACGCCACCACAGAGCCCCACGCGGGCTCTACCTCGGCCTCTCCACCCCACGCCGGTGGTGGACTGGGATTCCCGGCCCTTGCCCCCACCACCTGCCTATGATGATGTGGCACAGGATGAGGATGATATTGAGGTCTGCTCTATCACCAGCCCCCCGAGCCGGCGGGGAAAGACCAACTATGGCTTTGTGGATGAGGGTGAGAGGGGACCGGCACTGGAGGACAACCTCTTCCTACCCCCCAAGGAGACCAAACAGCCCAGCATGACACAGACCACCGAGCTCTTCGAGGAGCTGCAGCAGGAGTGCATGAAGAGGCTCAACGTCCCTTTGGGACCGGCTGCTCCAGCTGACGACAAGCCCCAGATCCCTCCCCGTGTCCCGATCCCGCCCCGGCCCCTCCGCCGCAATGAGCCTGGGCGCTGGTCAGGGGACCTTTCCCCAGCTTCGGGGGGCGAGGAGGACCGGCCGCCCCAGATCCCCCCGCGGGACCCCCTGTCCCAGCCCACTTCCCGGACACCCAGTCCCATGGCTCTGCAGGTGGGCTCCCCCCAGCAACGTGCTGCCCTCTGCTCCTGCCTCTCCACCTCACCAGGGAAGCCCATGCCCACCACACAGAGCTTCGCCCTCGACCCCAAGTACGCCACCCCCAAGGTCATCCAGGCGCAGGGCAAGGACTGCTCCAAGGGACCTTGCATCCTGCCCATCGTGAAGGATGGGCAGAAGGTCAGCAGCACCCACTACTACCTGCTGCCCGAGCGCCCTGCCTACCTGGACAAGTATGAGAAGTTTTTCAAGGAGGCTAAAAGCCCTGAGGAGGTGGCAGCTTCTCGCCAGGTCACCACTGCCACCGTCCGTCCCATGGTGCAGCAGCCATTGTCAGACTGCAAGGCCAACTTTTCCTCCAACAACAGCAACCCTGGGCCCAAGTGCCTGGTGAAAGCCTCCTGCAGCCTCCAGAAGATTGTTTACGACGGGCCAGATGTTTGCCGTCCTGCTGACAAGATCCGGCTGGTAGGTGTCATCCCCAGCATCCATGAGAAGTGGGCTTACATGGGCAAGAGCTTTCCCCACCCTGTGCCTCAGTTTCCACAAGTTAAACCCCAGGGGACTGGCTACAAGTAAGCCCCAGATGTTCAGGGGGACATAAATGTCACTGCAATGCCAAAATGGGAATTGAAGGCCCTGGGGAGGAGGACAGTGGCTGTGCTGCTATGGTCCCCTTGGTCTCTCTAGGCTCGGAATCTTGTGGCCCACCCAGGCCCAGGGGAGATTTATGAGCCCAGGGATGAGAATGATCCCAGCTCCAGGCTGGTAGCGCTCCCTGAAGACAGAACCAGGGATGGGGCAGCCCCAGTGGTCTCCTGCTTCAGTCACAGGCTTCTTGCTGCCCAGGGGTGGCAGCAGACAGTGACCACAAGCTCCCCCCCAGGTGCAGGACACGGTGCATGGCGTGACCACCGAGGAATGCCAGGCAGCCCTTCAGAACCATGGCTGGAGCACCCAACGGGCTATCCAGTACCTGAAGGTACAGCACACACCCGTTCCCTTGTCCCAGCTCCAGCAAGAGTGGTGGCACCCCTGTCACCCCTCTGGCCATGCCCTGTCCCCTTGCAGGTGGAGCAGCTCTTCTGCCTGGGGCTGAAGTCCCGTGGTGAGTGCCAGCGGGTGCTGGAGATGTTCGACTGGAACCTGGCACAGGCCAGCTCCCACCTCCTCGATCCCTACAGCGCCACCCGCCAGAAGTAGGGACAGCAATGTTTTTGGGGGGGCAGTTCTCTATGCCACACTGCTCTGGGCCGACTGGCACTGTCACCCCTCCTGAGTTCATGTCCTGTTCTCTCCTTACAGGTGGTGACAGCGGGGAAGGGGCGAGCTGTGTTGGATCCAGAGCAGGCATCTCGCCATGGGGCCAGTCCCGCCGCCTCCACCCATACAACCTGCTGCAGGACTCTGGACTGAACCCCCACTTGAGGGTGGAGACACCCCAAAAGGGACCCTGCCTAGTGCCAAGACTTTGCAGGATGCTTGTGCCCTGGCCTTGGCAATGGGCTCCATCCCCTGGCCCCTTGTTGAACTGTTTTTGTAAAGAGAAATGTAATTTTAATATATATATTATGTATATATATAAAAATATTCTATAGAGAGGCTGAGGGTACCTATGGCCGTCTCCCAGGTTTATCCCTAGCAATACACAGGGACAGGCTACACATCCATGGCTGTTGGTTCCTCCCTGCAGGCAGCTGGGACTGTGACCTTTGGGATTCGCAGTGGGATGAAGCTCGGGAGGGGATATACAGACTCTGGGAATCCCCAGGAAGCTGTGTGACATGTGCACCTATAAAACCTCCTGCTGAGTCCTCCCAGGCTGCTTTAGGGTGCAAAGTTCTCCATCCAGGGCTGCTGGAGTTAGTCACAGTATATCCCACCCCCAGGCCCAACGCTTGAAGGCCGGGCATGGTTTTGCCTGCTCTGTGGGCAGTGTTTGCCTGCAGGGGAGCCCCCCTTGCCCTGGTGCCACCTGACTCATGCCTGGGCAGGGAGTGGCGGGACTGGCGTCGCCCCCACCCACGTGTGGGTATTGTGCAACCGGGTGCCTCTGCTGCAGACGGAGCCGGGAGCAGGTGTGGGAGTGGAGGGGTGGCCCCTGTGGGGTCCCAGAGCCGGTGTCAGTGCTCACTCCCCACTCCAAGGGGGTATCAGAGCCCCTTGGCTGGGTTTCCTGCAGTGCTGCCTTCTAGCAGCATCAGGAAGGGATCTTGGAAGCAGGTGGAGGAGGATCTTGGTGCCCAAACCCACCAGGTCCATTGGTAGTGGTGGTACCTGCTCCCCAGGACACTCTGCTCCAGAGGAGACACCCTGCCATACACAGTGAGGAAGGGCTGCCTTGGCATGACCGTGGATCCATCCCTGTGGCAGATGGTACCTGGCTGCATCCTGTGCACCCACAGCTCCCTCTTCTCTGGTCCCCTGGCCCTCCCTGAGCGTGGGGACAGGGAGCTGGTGCTGCTGTGAGCACAGTCACGCGTCACTGCTCGGGACTCTGTGCTTCTGTTTTCCTGTGCGAGGTGCAGCCGCCATGGCGGGGCTCTCAGTGAAGCGAGGAAGGCACAACACCATCACTGCCTTACTTCCCTCTCCTCAAGTGATCCTGGAGCTGGGTGAGACCTTGTGAAGAAGCAAACACATTGCTGCCGTGGCCTCACTGACTCTGTTCACGCAGCAGGGTCGGTCCGGCCTCTGTCGCTGCTGGAAGGTGACCTGTAACCCAGGGCAATGCCCGGCCCTGCCACCTGTGCGGGAACACTCCCCCCACTCCATCCGGGTTTGTGTGGGCGTTTGCCGCGATGTGCAGATAACGCCTGGCACCGGCAGTGCCGAAGGGGGACAGGGCAGGGTCAATACGCGGGACCCCAAGGCACAGCCGTAGCCTGCTCCTTCCTTCTTCCTCCTTGGTGACAAGCCAACCCCTGCCAGGGGTTATCAGCCATGCAGCCAAGTGTGCAGGGACCTGACAGCAACCAGGATGGGGGTGCAGAGCCCAGGACTGACCCACCCCTCCCAGAGATGTTTGGGACCCCTGTCCCCACCTGCTGTCCCAGTGTCTTTAGTGACTTTGAACCCCCCGGGGTGGCTCCCCAGGGGTTGGGGACCCCAGCCGCGGGCTGTCAACAGTGGGGTCGGCCTGGAAAGGACCTCAAAGCTTCCCATGGCAAAGTGGGTGTGGCCCCCAGCATCAGTGGGTGCCCAGAATTGGGACGCTGCCACCTCAGCGCAGGCTGCGAGGACACAGAGACGTCAGTGCCCCAGGCAGGGCACGTGGTGTCCCTGTCCCCCCCACCTGGAGGAGCGCTCACCGCGGAGTCACCCTCGCACGCTCCCTTGAGAGAGGGAGAGCCGCAGCCGCGTCGCCTTCCTCCCTGACCCCGCAGAGGCACCATGGGGCTCTGGAGCTGGCTGCTGTGGGGGTTCTGGGTGCTGCCAGGTGAGTGCCAGGGCCCCTCGCACTGCTGCCGGGCTGACCGGGTGGCTGATGCTGCGTGGGTGAGGGGCTGCGGGCGACCCTCGGGGGCTACAACGCTGCCCCCGAGCCCCAGTGCCCGGCCGGGGCTTGTCCTGTCGCTGTGCGCGGGTGCCAGAGTTTTGTCACGGTCCCCAGCTGCAGCAGGGGAAGGTGGCGGGAATTGCGGAACAAATTGAGAGATTCACCCTGGGGGAAGGTCCCTGTCCTGTGCTTGGTGTTGGTCCTCCCGCAGAAGGGAGGAGGGCTGGGGGTGATGGCGACTCCGGGCTGGCTTTTTCCTCACTCTGCCCTCACCTGCCTTCTGCGCAAGCCGGGGAGATGAAGGGGCAACTCCTTGTGCCCACGCCGGACCCATCCGAGTCGGGCAGCATCTCCCATGTGGCCGACAGCGCCAGCGCCGAGCTGCCTTCCGAGCTGGCCGTGTGCGCGGAGCTCCCCGGAGCCGCCGGGGCAGCGCTCCCCTCTGCCGCCGGCCCCGCGGGCAGCCCCGGCTCAGGTAAGGCCGGCAGGGCAGGATCCCGCCTGCTGGGGCCGCGGCGGGGCTCATCCAGCTGCAGCTGCCTCGTCTCGCTCCACAGGCGTCCCGGTGCCACAGGAAACAGAGCTGGTCCCGGCTGGAAGCAGCGGTGAGCAGGTGGGGTCTCCCAGCCCGGCAGCTCTCCCTGGGGGTCCAGCAGTGCGAGGCAGCCCCCAGGCAGGGTCAGGGGCTGGGCTCTCCTCTGCAGGTGCTGCCGGCCACCCAACCAGCGTCCCTCCAGCTCCCACCACCGCTTGGCACATGCAGCCTCTGTCCTTCAAGCCAAAGGGGCACACAGTGGGTCTTGCCCTGGGTGCTGCCGCCGTGGAGCAGATGCCAGTGACAGCATGGAGCACAGAGCCATTGCTCCCCCAGGATGAGCACAGCACAGCGACATCATCCCTCAGCACAAGCAGGAGCTCTGCTGAGCCACGTAGTACTGCCATGCTCCTGTCCCAGGAGGTCATTCTGGGGCTGGATGAGGCCACCTCACCTTTGGCCACAGCTGCCAGCATCTCTGAGGAGAGGGGCAGCCCCATGAAGATGGCAGCAGCCTCAGCCAGTCCCCCCAACACAGCTGCAGAGGGAGCCTTTTCTTCCACCACCACTGGCACCAGCAAGGCTGCAGAGCCAGGGACAAGCACCTTACCCAATGCTGACCACAGTGCCTCACAGGACCCTCCTGGGCCTCCCACTCAGCTGCCTCCAGCCCTTTTGCCCCACCTTCCTGAGGATGCTGTGCTGGGCACAGGACAGACGCTCCCCTCCAGCCACAGCGCAGCCCCGGGTGCTGCTGGACACGGGCTGCCTGCAGACAGCACTGCCAACCAGCCCCAGGCCACCACACAAGCTGCGGGCACACTGGCTACAGTGATGGATGTCGTAGCTGGAGAGCACATCCCACCTCTGGGAAGCACCAGTGCTGAGCTGGTGTCCATCAGGAATGAGGCCAGTACCAAAGCCACAGCAGGCACTGCCACCCCAGAGACCAAGGACATACCAGGGGGACTCAGCATGAGTGTGTCCCCCCATGCAGCTCTCAAAGACCCTGACGGTCTCTCTCCAAGGCCCTTTCCACGCTCCATGGGCTCTCTGCTCCCTCAGTCCCTCTCAACAGGCCTTGGGACCACCACAGCAGAGGCAGCAGCAGGCAGATCTCCTTCAGCCCCTCCCAGCATGGCCATGCCTGTGTCCCTCATGGGCACCACTGGAGCAAAGCCAGACAGTGACCCTCGAGCTGCTGCTGCACCACCACCTTCCATCGCTGCATTTGGCACTGGGACTGTGCCAGCTACCCACCCATCCTCCTTTGCTAGCAACACTCCAATTAGTGAAGCAGGGATGGGATCAGCATCACTGGCCAGTGGCAGTGCCACCATAATGCCAGGGGACACCGAAGCCACCCTGCCTGTGCCTGATGCACACTCCAGCCACAGCCAGCCAGCTCCCACAGCAGGCTCAACAACCCCAGGAACTGGTGTGACACCCAGATCTGCACTGACCCCAGTGCTCTGGGCTGGGCCCCAAATTGTGGAAGCTCCAGGGACAGAGATGCCACCACCCAACACTGCACCAGGCACTGGCAGAGCTGTATCAGGTACCCCTGGGGGACCCAGGGCAGTCACTGTCCCCATGGCATCACAAGCAGATGTTCCCTCTCTCCTGGAAGGCAGAGCCAATGCAGGGATGCCTCTGGAGGTGTCCCCATCCAGCATCCCCCAAGAGACGGCACCAGTCACGTCCCCACTGCCCCTGACTGCCCCACTGCAAGCAATGGGGGCTTCAGGTGACCCCCAGCCCAATGGCAGCACCACAGGGCAAGCAATGGGGTTCCTGGAAGTGAGCACGGCGGAGAACCCAGGTGCCAGTGCAGCAGGGCCAGCTCCCAGCCACATGATTGTCACTGCCAGGCCATCACTGGAGCTGCCTGCCACCGAGAACAAGCCCACTGCTGGGATCACCTCGCTGGCTGCTGGCCACACAAATGTGTGGGAGGCTACAGCTGCATCCCGGACAGGTGCCACTGCCCATGTGGACATCACTGCCCATGTGGACACCACTGCCCATGTGGACACCACCAGCTCTGAGAGCAGCACTGAGGGTGCAGCCAACACCAGCAGGACCCATGTCCCTGACTCCAGCACCAGTGGCACAAGCCTGGCCACCACACCAGCCACTACACCATCCACCAGCACATTCCCCAGCAATGCCAACCTGCCAACCACCTCCACAGGCTGGGAGACCTTTGTGACCAGTGTCACCACAGCCATGCCACCTGCCACAGCATGGGCCACCAGCAGTGCCCCATCCCTTGGTGTAACACACAGCGAGGCAGGAGGAGGCGGGCAGCCTGTCCCACCCCCAGCAGCACGGACCCCCGTGGTGGAGACAACTCTGGGACCCTGGGGCGTCCTTGGTCCCAGCACTGCTGTTGCAGTGCCCAGTTCTCCCCTCCCCAGCCTGCACAGCCCAACAGAGGAGGCAGCAACAGCCCCCTTGTCCCTGCTTGGTGCAACTGGGGTGGCAGCAGCTGGAGAGACTCACACCGAGTCAGCAACAGGCACCACTTCTCCTGCACCCATCGGCTACCACGACATGGGACAAGCAGTGAGCATGTCACCTCCTGCCCTCCAGACATCTCCAGGGGCACCTGCCTGGAAGGAGAAAACAGCCACCAGCACAGGCAGCACCACTGCCACTGCTGCAGGGAACACCATGGCCAGCACCACAGGCAGCACCACTGCCACCACTGCCACCACTGCCACCACTGCAGGCAGCACGACTCCCACCACTGCCACAACTACAGGGAGCACCACTGCCACCACTGCAGGGAACAGTACTGCCACCACTGCCACCATTGCAGAGAAGAGCACTGCCACCACTGCCACCACTACAGACAGCTTCACTACCACTTCTGCCACCACTGCAGGGAACAGCACTGCCACCACTGCAGGGAACATCGCTGCCACCACTGCCACTTCTGCCACCACTGCAGGGAACATCATTGCCACCACTGCAGGAGGCACCATGGCTATGGCATCCACAGCCCCAGTGAGCCCAGCCAAGGAGGAGGGAAGTCTCCCAGGCACCACGGCACCAGTGACACCACCAGCCACCACCAGCCGTGCCACCACCCTGTCTCACGCCTTTGGGACACAGAGAGGACCGTCCACTGAACTGAGCACATCTGCCCACACCACCACTGGGCACAGAACTCCTGCACCTGAGCCCCAACCCACCCATGAGCTTATCAGTAAGTAGATTTTCTTTTTCCCAAGGACAAGAGTAGGAAAGGGGTTTCCAGCCAGTCAAGCATGGTGGTGGATGAGGGTATGGCCTGGTCTGGGGTATCTCATCTGCATTGCACATTGGGCTGCCAGATTAATGGGAAAAGGCAAAACAGGACATTTGAGAGCATCCCAAAAGTGGGTTCAGAATTGGATTACAATCCATCAGAGGACAGGCACAGCATCCTGGCAGCAAGCAGCTGGGTTTGTCCTGGCTGCAGGATGAATAAAGCAGACATTAATGATTTCACACTTTTTTCATTATCTTCTGCCCATGGCAGAGCCAGCGACTTCACTCTACCCCTTTGGCGTGGAAGGAGGGGATCAAGAATACGTCCGGAGGATGGTGGATTTTAACTCACCCCTGTTCAAGCCAGAAATTGGATTTCCCTTTGGGAAGTCACTGCGAGATGCTCTCTATGTGAGTGCCCCCTTTGGTGAGCACATAATGGATGTGCTGCCTTTTTGGTAAAAAAATCCCAAGCATTGAAATGGAGCTGAAATCAAATTTCATCTATCTTCTTTTTTTAACATTTAAAATGGTTGGTTTCTGTTCATCCATGGAGGCTAGAAGCTATCCCAGTCAGCAAATAACAAGTTCTTTTGTTAGTTTACAGATAATGGACAGATCATTTTTCCACCCACGGACAACTATGTCCCATCCAACCCCAACCCCCCTCCCCGGGGCTTCACTGGCCGGGAGAGCTTGCCAATGGTGGCTGCCTTTTGGGATGATGCAGACTTTTCCAAGGGTGTTGGCACCACTTGGTACCAGGTGAGGGCCACCAGAGGTGTTCTGGGAGAATCCAGTTCCCAGCTCACTCATTTAATTCCCTCTCTTGCCATCTGGCAGGAGTACTCTACACTCAGCTCTACCCAAGACCCCGTTGTCCAAGATGTGGAAGCAAAGATTGAGAAATACCTAAAAATCCCCTATGCAGCAAAATGGACCTTGAAGGTGACGTGGGAGAAAGCTCCAGCATACCCATCCCGGGGGGGTGACACTCAGGTGAGCAGTGCGGGACCCAGGTGACAGAGAGGACTGCTGGTGGCTGTTCCAAGCCTCAGTCCGCTCTGCAGGGAGAGCAGGGGAGGCTCTGGGAGTGCTAAGGGGGTGCCTTGGGTTTCTCCAGACCAGCACCTACCAGGCAGTGCTCAGCACCGACGGGAGCCGCTCCTTCGCCCTGCTGCTCTACCAGGACGGGGGGATGCGCTGGGACTACACCAGGCTGGCTGCAGCCAACGTGCTGATCGGCTTCTCCAGGTGCTGCACGCTGTCACTGGGGTTTGGGACAGCTGAGATTTGTTCCAGCACCGTGTTGAGACTGGTGGAAGCATTACCCCCAGGAGAGCTCCCACTCCTGGGGCACTCCTGCCCCGTTTAAACCCTTTCTCTTGCACACAGCAGCAGTTCCCACCCCAGCTGCTCTGCGGGGGGAGGAGGAGGGTTGTGCTGGGAGGATGACCTCAAACCTCCTCTCTCCACACAGCGGCAATGGCTATGCCCAAAACAACGAGCTGACTCAGAAGCCTCCAGCTGTCAAGTACCGACCAGACCAGCACAGCAGCCCCGGCTCCGGTACGGCACCGGGGGGTCCTTGGGGTGGGTGGGGATGGATGGAGCTGTGTGCTCTGTGCCAGGAGCATGTCCCCAGCACCCAGCCCTGGGAGGTGTGGGCCAGCAAAGCCACTGGGCAAGAGCTGGGCGGGTGTCCTATGTCCTCCTGTGGCTTGCCACAGCCCTGCTGGCTCTAGAGGGAGCCTGGAGACCTCGTGTGAGGTCAGTGGCCAGGGACAGCGGTCCCACGGGATCCCTCAGCACAAGGCGAGACCCTGGCTGAGCAGTGCTGTTCTCTGGTTGCACCCCCAGATGTGCGTGGGCTGTGGATTTACAGACTGGACAGTCGCTCCCGGGTGAATTACAGGCTGCAGTGCCTGGCGTGGCTGGACACAGAGCCAGCGCCGGCCACCTGGAACAGGCAGCTGCCACCATGCCCCTGCTCCCGGCCCCAGGCAGAGCTGGATCCCCGCTACCACTGGAGCAGAGGTGCCAAGGACAGCCCCCAGGAGCAGCAGCAGGGCGGGGGGATGGTCCCCTCCTGCTCTGGGGGCAGCTGTGATCCCCCCACTATTCCAGGCCCAGCAGACGCCTCGGTGAGGATGCTGCGCACTGCGTCCCCCAGCCCAGCTGGAGCTGGGGTACGATGTCTGTACCAAGGTGAGAGCTTGCTGGAAGGCTGGCAGGAGAGAGTGTGGAGCCTCCCCTTCCACGCTGCCACTGGTGAGTGGGAACTGGCATTTCCTCACCCTAAAATACCCCCAAGCATCAAGCACAGGCAGAGCAAGGGCCCTGACACAGCCCACCACATTCCTCCACAGACACGGAGCTGGAAGCGTTCGACTGGTGCTGCCGGCGGGTGGGGAAGCCCCAGTTCTGTGCCAGGTTTGCTGAGAAGAGACCGAGGGTTGACTGTGAAGGATATGTGCCACCCACCCCCGGTGAGTCCCAGGCTCTGCCTCTGCTGTGCCAGGGCACTGAGCTGTGCATGGACCCCATGCTTCAGCCACACTTTGCAACATGCCAGTGGGGACTGCTGAGCAGCTCTGGGGCTGCTCTGCTCCCTGAAATGACACCAGCATTTGTTCTTTTTCCTCTGCCCAAAATGTCTCCATCTTCTCTGGACCCCAGCTGGTGCCTTCGGGGACCCTCACATCACCACCCTGGATGGACTCACCTACACCTTCAATGGGCTTGGGGACTTTGTCCTGCTGCTGGCCAGTGATGCCCAGACCAGCTTCGTTCTGCAAGGGCGCACAGCACAGACTGGCATGGCCCAGGCCACCAACTTTGTGGCCTTTGCTGCCCAGTACATCTCCAACACCACCACAACAGTGAGTAGGAGTGCCCTGGGTATGAATTTGAGCCTCTAATGGGAAAGGCTTCTCTGGCAGGCTGGGCATTACCCCTGCATCACCTACAAGTGGATAGGACCTGAGAGGCCTCTCCTCTTCTTTTCCTGCCACCTCCCACCACTCCAACCAGTACTATTAGTGGGGAAATGGACTAATATTCACCAGGCACAGGTCTAACACCTCCTGCAAACAGGCCAGCAAGGGCTGGAGACTGGAGGAAGATGGTGTGCTTCACCTTTTCCATTGCACACTCTTTGTCCTGACACTTTAGCACAAGTGACTGCTCTTCCTGACTGTGCAGAAATGCTCCCCACAGCCATTTGGCTTCATTAAGCAGAATGAAGCTGGTGTCACCAGGAGCAGGCATTGAATGGCATGAGGAGGGGGCTCAGAGCTGGGAGCCCCCCAGAACAGCTCTCCATGCTGTCAAGGCCAGCTGAGCAGTGGTGGTGGCCTGGGCATGTCCCTTGCCAGCAGTGACAGGCAGCTCTCTGTCCTCTTCTGTGCAAACATCAAAGCTGCTGTACTGTGTGTCTGCTGCACCAACACAGGCCCCAGGGCTGAGCCTCTCTTCCTGGGCTGGAGGACAGAGTTAATAATTGTTCCCAGCATGGAGGGACAGCAGGAAGGGACAAGCAGAGGGTCTGACTGGCACATCCACCACAAATTTCAGGTTGAGTGGACCCTGGGGAGCCAGGATGAGATCCAAGTCCTCCTGAACAATGAAACCATCCAGTTTTCCTATTCCCAAGGTGAGCAGGGTCTGCTGTTAAATGCTAAATGTATGTGGGAAGGACCAGAAATGTCCCCATCTCATGGGACCAGCCCTGCCCAGTGCTAGGGCACCATCCTGAGATCCATTAAATGTCTCTCACCTGCGCCTGTCTCTGCTCTGGGTGGGGTGCATGGGGAGCACTCCCCTCCAGGAACCCATGGTTGTCATTTCAGGTCCCAGCCTTGCCTGGACTCTCCCTCTGTGCTCTCTTTCTCTTGCAGAGCTGGGTGACGAGGTCTACTACAGCCCTGGTGTCCTGCTAGTCAACGCCTCCTCTGTCACAGCCATCTTCGATGGGACCATTGCTGTGTCTGTCTCAGCCAGCTCCGGGATCCTCAGCGTGGTCTGCAGCCTGCCCCACTGGTACTGCAACAGCACCAGGGGCCTCCTGGGTGAGGGCTCTGCCACAGCTGGGCTGCAAATGCTCTTCCCACTCTAAAGTAGACGGGAAAATTGGGGAATTGTGAGGGCAGGGACACCTGGGTATGAACTAAACACTGGCCACACCAGAGAGGAGGTCAGCCCTGGCATGGGGGATTCCAGCACTCTGGTGATGCTCCACCAGGTGTGTGGGACCATGACCCCGCAGATGATTTCCAGATGCCAAATGGTACCAGCATCCCTGTGAACAGCAGTGAAGAGGAGATCTACAGCTATGGGATGACCTGTAAGTTCAAGCTTAGGATCCCTCTTGATGATCCTCTCCTTCCTGCACCTCCTGGCCATGTTTTGGCTTGAGATTTTTAAACATTTGCCTGAGCAAAAGCAATGTCAAGGGAAGGTGTTTGGTGTCCTCACTGCTCTGTGAAAAGGAACCCTAAAATACAACAAACCTTAAAATGGCCTGTACCCATGGTGTGGTTTCTTGCAGGGGCTGTTGGGGAGCACAGCCTGTTCACTCAGCCTCTGGACTCACCAGCACTGAACTTCACACCCTTCTTCTTGTCTCGGCTGCGGCAGGAGAATGAAAGCCAGTACCAGCTGGTGTCCTCTCAGTGTCATGGCAGCAAGGAGTGCATCTATGATTCACTGAGCACAGGGAACTTGGCCCTGGGCCTGGCCACCCAGAGCTTTGCAGCTGACTTCCAGCAGAGGAAGACAGCACTCAGTAAGTGGAGCACATCCTCACCTCTGAGAGGGCATGGCTGGGATGTGACTGTGCCCTGCTCCTTTCCTGGGCTCTCTTGCTTCATATGAGACAGAAGACACCAAGGTCTTGGCTTTGCACCATCCAGCTGGCTTGTCTCCAGTCCTGGGAGATGCCACCAGCAGGACAGTTGCCATCAAGGTTTTGGAATTGCATTTCCTGGGACTGCATTTCTGGCTTCTCTCCAAACCTGGGAGATGCCACCATGCTGTGCAACATAAGGGCCTTGTTGGTGGGCAGCCATGACAGCACCTGCTTGGGGTCCCGTCCTCACAGGAGGGAGTTGGAGCCGAGGGGTGACAAGGCCACATGTGTGCTGGGCTGCTCTCTCCTCAGATGCCTTCCCTCCCGTCATCACCGGTGACGCATCAATCACAGCCTTCAGGACAGAGAGGGTCACAAGGCAGTACCGTGCCTTGGGGGCGGGGGCACGCTTCATTCCCCATCTCTCACCAGAGCTCAACATATCAGGTAGGGAAGGAGAGATGGAGCAGCTGGGATGGGAAGGAATGGGATGGAATTCCTCTGCCACCTCTAACTCCTACCTCTCCTCCCGGCAGAGAATGGGACCCTGATATGGCAGCCCCGCGGGACAGCCCCATTCACCATCAACCTGGAGGCTGTTGGCTCCAACAACATCTCTGCACTCCTCCAGCTCCGCTTCACCCTTTGCAGATGCAGCAGGAGCCAGGACTGTGACTACAGCAACACTGTCACTCTCGGGAAGTCTTCCCTGCAGGTAGCGTACCAGAAAGCTCCTCTGGCAACACACTGTGCCTGTCCCCATGCCAGCTGTGCTGGCTGTCTTCTCTGTCCACCCATCCTCCTCACGCTCCCTAAGCCAGTGTCACTGTCCCCTGCCCAGCTGGCAGCCTGCAGATGCGAGAGCGGCTACTCAGGTGCCTTCTGCCAGGACCCTCCGGACCCCTGCTCCCAGGGATGCTTCCCTGGTGTGGGATGTCACCCTTTCAGCGGCTGTGGCCCCTGCCCGGCTGGCCTGACGGGGGATGGAGAGCACTGCTCAGGTGACAAGGGCTGACACCATGGCCACTGGGACCCCGCCACGGTGCTTGTCCCGGTGCCATGGTGCCTTGCCCTGGCAGATATCGATGAGTGCACGCAGGGGACAGAGTGCCCAGGGAACAGCACCTGCACCAACACCGTGGGCAGCTACGTCTGCTCCTGCCCGGCCAGTGAGCAGGGTGAGTATGGGGCCCTGACAGGCATGGTCCTCACCCCCATCACCCCGGGCTCTGTGGATGAGAATTCCTGAGGGAGCCAGGCTGGCCAGAGAGGAGAGAAGGGAGCTGCTTGAGCTCTGTGCCCAAGCCCTTGCTGTCATTAGCAGAAGGGACCAGAGTCCAGCCACCACTCGTGTTCCCAGGCTGTCGATCTCACTAATCCTCTGGGAAGAGAAATTTTTTCCCATGCAATTTTTCTCCTTGAGAAAAAAATTCTCATCCCAGCAAAGTTCAAATGCACATGCAGAGGTTGGGGGCTAAATCAAGCCCTATTCAGATTGCTTTGGTGGGGTTGAGTAGATGGCTTTTGCTCTTTTTCTAATGCTGGGATTTAAGAAGGGCAAATGGCTCCAGCTGGAAGGAGGGGGAGTGGGACTATTCCTTGAATTCATACTAAAAGTCCTAACACATTAAAGAAAAACAAAACAAAACTTGGAAGAAAGGCCTTATGGAGCAGCTGAGGATGGCTCGGAGAGCTGGGGCTCTGCCCTGAAGTCAGGTTCATACCTCTACCATGGCCTCCATCCCACAGGTGAGATGCCAGGCTGTGGCTCAGCCTGTGGCTACCACTCCTGCCCTGAGGGCTACTGCAGCAACGGGGGACACTGCCACCTTCACCCCATCACTTGTGCCCCCACCTGCGCCTGCCCCCCGGCTTTCACCGACCAGCGCTGCCTGGTGGCAGGGGGGGATTTTCAGCCACTGCCCAGCTCAGGTGGGTACCCGTGCCCCATGAGGGGTGAAACCTGACCCCACTCACCCTGGTCCTGCAATGCCAGAGCCACCACTGTGGCTTTCCCCAAGCAGGTCTCCCTCGGAGAAGCATCCAGATGAGGATCAAGACACTGCAAAACGCCACTGCTGAGGAAGTCAACAGCACTGTATGTCACTGGAGGGTGGGCTCAGAGCAGGGGGCACACTGGCATACTGGGCAGCTTGGCAGCTGGCGTGGGCATGCCTCTGTATGCCCTCCCATGGGATCTCTGGGGCTCCAGCAGATCCACAAGCCCGGAGGGAGGAAGCACCAATTGCATGGTGATGGCTGCAGCCATGGCCCTGTGCCAAGTGAATGAACCAAAGGCCAGAGCAACCCTTGGGGCTTGGTCACAATGCCTGCATCACTCTTCAAACTTTCCCCATGCTGGTGTCATTCTGCTTCCCCTAATGCCTTCCTGCTCCCGCCACTGCAGGTCTCAGCCATCCTGGATTCCCTGGAGGTAAAAGCTTTCCAGAGCAACACCAACATCACCCAGATGTGAGTCAGATGTGAAGCAGCCTGTGACCACCCCAAGGATCGGGCGGGGCAGGGCTGAGCATGGGGCCAGAGAGTTTGGTGCACAAAGGGCGTTTTCCCCCAGCTCCGAGTCTGTTTTTCCAGCCTGGTGCTGGTAAACCCTTGGAGACACGAGTCTGTTGGCACCTTCCCCTGCTGCCTCATCCCTTCCTTACCATCACCCAAATGGGAATGCTGAGGCACGGTGAGGCTCAGCCACTCTGAGAGGCAGCAGCAGCTCCACCAGCAGCCCTCTCTTTTCCCTGCAGGACAGACAGCGATGGCTTCACCTTCATGGTGGTGTCCGAGTTTGCCTATGACAGCCGCGGCGCCGTCATCCGCTTCCTGAACGAGGAGCTGCCCGCGGCCATCACCGGCGCCTTCAACGGGCGCCGGGGGCAGCGGCAGGCGGGCACGGGGCTGCGCTTCCAGCGCCTGCACCAGGACAACATCACCGACCTGGTGAAGCGTGAGTTGCTCCTGGCACTGAGCTGGGAGTGCCCCCCTGTCCCCATTGTCCCCATAACCCTGTGTGCCCCAGGGATTGGTTCACACCCATGGTGGGGAGGGTGGGCAGCCTCCCAACCCCAGCCATAGGTCCAGCTTGGAGAAGCATCAAGGGGGTTGCTGCAAGGCCGAACCCATGTGCTTTCCTTCCCCAGTGACAGTGGATGAGCTGAGGGCCTATTTCCCCTGCTCACTGTATGGCTACAAAGGCTACCAGCTTCACTACACGGGGACCATCGGCTTCATCTGCATCTCCCCCTGCAAGATGGGCTACTGCCAGCATGGTGGCCAGTGCCAGCACCTGCCCGAGGGGCCCACGTGCAGGTAGCAGCAGCCCTGGGGTGGACAAGGCCACCCTGCTCAGCTGCTTCTCCCACAGCATCACAGCTCCTCCCTCCCCATCCGCAGCTGCCTGCCCTTCTCCATCTACTCTCCAGCTGGCCTCCAGTGTGAGTGGCTGGCCATCAGCCTGGCCGCCTTCCTCGGCATCCTGCTGGGAGCCCTGGCTCTGCTCTGCCTCCTGTTTGCCCTCGGCTGCCTGGCTCTGCGCCTCTGCCACCAGCGCCGCCGCCGGCACCAGGGGTGAGCATGGGCTGGACCTGTACGGGGCTGGGTGTGGGCATGTGGCAGGCTGGGTGTTGAGAGAAAACTGACCAAAAATCCACATTTGAAAGATCCACCACTGAAAGTGTCTGGTTTGGGCAGGGGGATCCTTCCAAAAATCCACATTTGAAAGATCCACCACTGGTAGAACGTGTCTGGTTTGGGCAGGGGGACCCTGCCCTGGGAGAGGGGTTGGGTGACCTTGTAATAACTTCCAGCATCTTTTCCAGACATCTGTTGCTCAGGGGTGCAATACCATCAGTGGGTTGAATGTTAGATTTCCTTTTCCCCCACATTAGGGAGTGTTTGCATTTCTTCCTCATCCCACCCAATACTTGGTTACAGATGGGCTTTCTATTTAATTTTAATTTGCATGCCACCCAAATGATTTCCACTTCAATTCACATGGGTCTGGAAAGAGCTGGCCTGGAGCAAGGAAAAGTGGTTTAAAAATTGGACCTTGCTCTTCTGCAGAGCAGGGAGTTAACAGAACAATGGCAAAGTGCACGGCTGGGATGCTGGTTCTCCTTCCCTCCTCCCTAGCTCTTAGTCCTGTGGAGGCTTCCACACCCAGGGGATCTCCCAAGCCCCTGGCTCTAGCTGGAGCTGTGTCCTGCCCCTGCACCCAGACCCCTGCCAGCCCTGGAGCCAGGGATCTCTGGGAAGATCCTCAGTTCATTTGCATTTGTGGCAAGGCAAGAAATTGTGTGTGCACAATGGGGTTTTCCTCCTCTTGCAGCCCCCTCTCCCCCCTGCAGTCAGTCACTGCTCCCCTTTGCCACCTGACCCAGACACCAGCATCAGGCAGGGGTTCTTCCAGCCCTGCTGACATGTTCTCCCTGTTCTGTTGCCCCTCTCAGGGCCAAGGAGACCTTGTGGAGGACACGGCCCTTCTCCTGTGAGTACATGCCTGCAAAATTCCCCCACCAAGGCTCTGCTTCACCCCAGTCCTCAAGTTCCATTCATCTTCCCTGCTCCAGCTTTAATGATGGCAGGAGAACAAGCAGAGCCCATGGGCTCCCACTCCCTGGAAAGGCATTGGAAACTGCAGCTCCAGGCCATTGACCCCTCACTCCAGGTCTGTCCTCAGGTTACTGCTTCCATAGGGTTGGGAAGTTCGGGCTGGGCTCTGAATCCTGGGCCTGTGCCTCAAAGGAGCTCAGGAGCTGTGCCTCATCCTGAAGCATCACCAATCCTTTGGCTGGCGCTGGGATCCGTGCCACTGTGACAAAGCACAGAGCCGATGCCACACTGACAGCGTGGCCTGTTCCTCCTTACAGATAAGAATCCAGAGACCCCACGTTGTGCCTCCAAGCCAGTCCCCCCAGCAGCCCTAACCTGCCACCAGTCCTTTTCTGGCACCTCCAGGCTCACAGAGGAGCCAGACACTGCTGCCTGCTCTTGGGGTGTCCAGCAGCAGCAACACATGGAAGCAGGGACAGGCAGCTGCCTTCTGGGTTCTGGGAGGATTCACTCTGGAGGAGGTGCTTTTTTGAATGTGTGTTTATGTTGGGTGACCAAAGCAGGAGGATTTCACCTTCCCTGAGGACCTGGAGAGAAGCCTGGGATCATCCTTGAATGTGTCTGCACCAGGGGTATGTGCTAGTGCAATAACCAGACCCTGCAGATCCCCTGAGAGCAGGGGCAGGTGGGACAAGGCAGTGATTGTAATCCCTTAGGAACCAAATAGAATAAACCAAAAATGTTGGCTTGCTGTTAACTTGTTTGCACCTCAAGGGTCTCTGCGCCAGCCCTGCTCCACTGTCATTGAGCCCTCAAGTCCCTGCTTTCTGCTGGTCCCATCCACAGAGCCAAAGTGAAAACGGATGTAAATTTTTTGGTGGCTTCATCCCCTCGTTTTCCCTACACACCTGCAAGTCTCCTCACACTGCCTTCGTGGGCACTGCTTACAGTGGCTCAGACCATGCAGCTCAGGCTTTGGCTCCACAAACATCCCACAGCTCTTCAACCCTGGTGACTGGGAGATGCTGACCCAAGGAGGGTATATCAGACCCCATCAGACCCCCAGCTTCCACCCCATTCACTGCCCTAGACCCTGGCTTAGCTGTGTCTCCAGCACTAAAGCTGAGAACAGAAATATCCTGTAATCCTGCTGCTCCAAGCCTGCCCAGTCACTGCTTCCCACCCAGTTTGGCAGAGGACATGGCTGCTACAGGATCAGTGATATGCTCAAACCCTTCCAAGGTCTTATTGAACAAACAAGATTTGACAATGATTTATTTTTTTTTTTAGAAAGGAAGATGCTCTCTTACACACAAAAAATTATTTTTGATCCAACATTTCTGATCATGGGGTTGCATTTTGCCCTCACACACCCAGCAGACGTATTGATCTGATTCTGGCTTGATCTGGAGAATTGTCCCTTCTCCTGAGCACAGGGCCCAGGGACCACTCAGGGAGGGATGGCTGGGAAACAGAAGTGGGGGACAAGACAGGACAGGCTCACAGGACAAGCCTGGTGCACCCTGGTATTTAAGGGCTTGGCCACAGTTAACCCAGGTGTGGTGTTTAACCCTTTCCGAGGGGTCCAGCCTCACCCTGCAGCATGGGAGCACAGTGGGATGTGGGAAGGACAAGGGTGGTGTGTGCAGTGGGGGGTACCTGCCCACCTCCCCACCAGCTCTGCCCCCCAGCTGCATTTGGGAAAGGACAATGAAAGCAACTGAATCCCTGGGACAAGCCTGGGTTAGAAATGTGAACTTGTGCCAGGGCAGGCAGCTGCAGGCACTGGCCAAGTGAGCTGCCCTGCGTGGTGGGCAGGGGTGATGGGTTCTGTGGGGGAACACGAGGGAAGAGCAGATCAAAGGGCTTGGAGGATCAGCCGTGGCCCAGAACGTGCTGCAGGTGTGCAACCTCCCAGTTACTTGTCCTCTCCATCTGCAAAGAAGAAATGAGATTTGCTCAGCCACCTGCTCCCTGAGGGGCAAGCTGGGAGCCCCCGGGCCATTTTCTTGCAGGGGTACAGGGATAGAGGGAAAGGAGACCCCACAATGCTGCTCACCTATCTGCTCATCTGAGTCAGACTCTGCCTCCTCCAAGGAATCTGTTGAGGGTTGCAAGAAAGCCCCACATCAGCTTACACCATAACCACGTTTGCTGTGGTCCTCCTCCCCTCCCAGTGCCATTACCCCCAGACTGTGCTGGTGATTCTGTGCTGAGGGAGATGCCTCCACAACCCCACACAGCCCAGGGCATGGTACAGCACCCCAAAACCCTTCCCCCATCTGCTCAGGGCTCTTGCCGCCTTAACCACAGGGAGGCTGGGACATTCCCACTCCCCTCCCAGCCCTGGGCACCAAGACAGCATCACCCCAGTGCACAGGAGCTGCAGACCCACCCGTGCTGGCTGACTGGTATCCATCACAGCCAATCTTGGGCCTCTTCTCGCTGTAGCGGGCGCAGAGGTGGGCACTGCCCGCCCGATTGCAGCACCAGTCATACAGCTTCAGCTCCTGGTCTGGGGGCAAAAAGGAGAGTGAGGGGCTGAAGGGAAGGAGAGGGAGATGGGCTGGTTCCAGGCAAGGCTTTCCTCAGCCTTTGGCAGCTCCACACTCCCTCCAAGGGAAACAGCATGTCAGGAAACAGGTTGGCACAGAGATTAAAACTGTTTACAGGCTACAACAATGCCAGCCTGGGCCAGGGGATGCCAAGGCTGGCTGTGCTTACCACGGTAGGGTGAGGCCTGCCTGGAGTTCCTCCAGTACCTCTCCTGGCGCCCCTCGATGAGCTGGCTCTGGCTGTCGTACAGGCAGCGCACGCCGGCGCCGTGCTGGTTGGGGGAGGCCGAGTGCAGCATGGAGACACGGGCACCCCACCTGCCTGAAACGGGGCAGCAGGGAGCCTCAGACTCTGCCCAGCCAGCACACCTGCCGCAGGGCAAGGACTGGGCCAGAGCGGGCTCCTCGCCAGCACTGCCACCACATCCCCCACGGTGCTGTAGGGGTTTGGAGGAACCGATGGAGGCCATCCAAGAGGTCCCCAGAGGGAGACCCTGCTCCCCAGCATCCCCATGCAGGTCAGACCAGCTCTGGCCAGTTTAATAAGACAAAAAGAGGTCAGCCCTCAATCCTCTTTGCTTTTCCTGTCTCTGAAGGGTAGGTCAGTCCCTCTCTCCTTTTCCTTAGGGTCACCTGCCCACCCTGCCAGGTGGGACCCCAGGCCACCCTTGCAGGAAAGGTGGGGAAGGACAGCTTGGGGATGGGAAGGGTGAGGTAGCAGCATGTCCACTTGCCTCCATAGCTGCTCTTGAAGCGTGGGTCCTGCTGCCCTTGCTGCAGGGAGCAGGGGCAGGTGGGCAGGCCGTGGCTCCATGCCTGGGGCTCCTGCTGCCGCCCTGTCCATGCCAGGCACTTCAGCCGGTAGTTGATGCCCACGCGGCTCTCCAGCTTGTAAATCCACAACCCACGGAGGTCTGAGCAGGGAGAGAAACCACGGGCTGTCACCTTTGGCCAAGGGGACCACAGGTGCTGTTCTGTCTCAAGGTGAGAGTCATGTGGTGCTGATGCTGGAAGCTAAGCCCACGTTGACCTCCACCCTATGTTCAACAGCCACCCAACAGAAGGGAAACGGGGGGAGAGGCTCTTGTCAAAGAAGAAAACCTTGGGACAGAGCCATTGGCACAAAAAGTGACCATGAGCACAGCAGGGATGTTTCAGCCTTAGGCCATAGCGGGTACCCAGGGGAAATGTGCTTGAGGGGGAAAGCCTGGCCTTGAGAACTCAGTAAGAGCCTTGCCACAATGGCAGGCTGGATTTCATTCCCTGGGAATATTCCCCTCCTTGTGCACCCACCCCAGCTGTGTGGCACTACCTGTGTTGTAGCCCCTGAACTGGTCAGGGCGGTATTTAGCAGCTGGAGGTCTCTTAGTCAGGTCATCGTTGTGGTAAAAGCCATCCCCACTGAGTGAAAAGAGGAAAAATCAGGAGTTGCTCTTCCTTGATGGGATTATCCCAGCCCCAGCCCCAGCCTGCCCTTCAGCCATCCTGACCCCGTGCCAGTGGAACTGCAGCACCCACATGACAGCTCTTGGGACAGGAGGGCAAAGGCATGGGCTGCCCCAGCCTGCTTCCTCCTCTCTATGGGGTACCGTTCTTTTTGGGTGCTGCCAACACTCCTGCTGCATCAGGGCCTGAGCCCACAGGCATCTGGAGACCCCCACGAGCAGCTTCCATGGCTTCCAGCATTTTGCCAGGCGATTTGGAGGAGAAACCCCCGAGGGGTCACACACAGGCACACACACGCCTGTGCCGCCCGCGCTTCCCATCCGGGCCACCTTTTCCTTACCCAGCTGCAGCAAGCAGCTAATGAGAAAACCCTGGAGACAGCCTGTACAGGGCAGGACGTAATGCGAGGAGGCAGGAAGCAACTGCTCCGGCCAAGCACGGAAATCCCTTCCCTCGGCTGGTGCAAAGTTCAGCAAACATCCCCTATTTCCCACTCCTTCCACCCAAACCGCCAGGATGCTGGGGGCCCAGGACTCCAGAGGGATTTGTGGATCTTACAACAAGCACAGCCCAGCAAGACAGCATGCTGCAGCATGATACAGTCCCTAACGGGGTGAATTTGTTTGTGAGGCCCCTATATGGTAGAATATATGGGCATGCAGACCACTTCTGGGCTGTCCTCATCCTTGTAGGGCACTCCCAGGGATATGGGGGAAGGATTCAACCAGTGGGCGGTGTGGGTGGGATGCATCCCAGTGCTCAGAGGAGGCAGGGATGGGGTGCTGAGCTGCTGTACCTGGTGTAGCCGATGAGCACATTGGGGGAAGTGAGCCTGGTGTAATCCCACTGCATGCCTCCGTCCTGGTACAGCATCAGGATGTAGGACCTGAAGCCATCAGTGGTCAGGACAGCCTGGTACGTGATTGTCTGGGGAGAAGCGTTGCAGACAGGTAAGAAAGTGAGGGAAAATGTGGGGTTTAAAACTCAGGGTGTGGGGCAGTGCTTGCTGGGAAATGGCCAGACTGAGGTCTGGAGGGAAACAAGGCAAACACAGCTAGGCCTGGTTCGCATTTCACATGGAAAATGTGATGGTTTTACTTTGAAACTGTTCCATGACAAGCTTCAAATTCACCCAATTTTATGCGTCTGAAAAACAGCATTTCTGGTACGCAATAAACTCCCACCACCTTAAAGAGAAAGGTTTTATGGAATGGGGGAAGTTCAGCTAAAGGTGTCTCTCAAAAAACCTGAAAACCACTAAAACGTGGGCACAGCCCAGTACTTTTTGGCAAAATTCTTCAAGACTAGCCTTTGTCACAGAACTGGTTCTTATATTCGGGCACAGAGAAGGTCATTGCCTGCAGGTCTTGGTGTTTTTTGACAATTCAACAGCACCTGTGTTCCATCAGTCCCTCACCTTGCGGGTGTCAGTCCTTGCTGCATGGACAGGAGCCCTCTCCCAGGTGATTTTCAGGGTCCAGACTGCAGAGTAGGAGGACCTCAGGTACCGCCGGATCTTGGCTTCCACGTCACGGACGAACGGCGGCTTGGCCGTGTTGAGGGTGGAGAACTCCTGTGGGTTGGGAACACACACGTCTGCGTCAGCTCCCAGGGGGACAAAACAGGCCTAGGCTGGGGTCACGCACAGACCCCTGTAACCAAAGTGCTGGGTGGGATTTGGATGGCTCAAGAGTTGACGTAGCACCAACGGCTCTTAGATTTGGCTCAGAAAAGGGAAAACCCGTTCATGGGCTCCATTAATTACACATCTCAAGAGGCATCCACGTGATAGATGATGAGCTTATAATCAAAAGGTGTTTGGTGCAATCATGCTCCCAGGTGGCTTCACTCACCTGGTAAAAGGTGGTGCCAACACCTCTGGAGAAGTCAGCGTCGTCCCAAAATACGGCGATCATGGGGACCTCTTCGTGGCCATTGAAGCCACTGGGAGGAGGGCTGGGGTACGTGGGGATGTTGTTGTCCGAGGCTGGGAAAATGATCTGTCCATTGTCTGTGAACTGAGCAGAGGGATCCTCCATCAGGCGAGATCAGGGCCAGCAGCACTCCCTGGCATGGGGGGGGCAGCCCTCCCATTTCCAAGTCCATTTTGAGCAATGCCCAAGGAAAGCCACCCCCTGCCACTGCTGAAAGGGCCACAAAGTCACCTCCTGCTGCAAACAGACCACAGCAGCATCCCAATAGCTTTGGCCCTGCAAGACTCCCATCCCAGGCACCTGGTGCCTCTCCCAGGGTTTTAGGTGATGGCCAGTTGCCCAACAAGTCAAGCCCAAGTAGACTCACGTAGAGAGAGCTGCGCAAGGTTTTCCCAAATGGGAATCCAGTCTCGGGCTTGAAAAGTGGAGAATTAAAATCCACTCTCCTTTCCACATACTCCTGATCATTTTCTCTTGCTCCGTACCCATAGAGGGGCACAGCTGGATCTGGAAAAGATAACAAACAAACAAACAATAAAACCAAACCACATTTACAGCAAAGCTTTTGGTCTGCATCAAAAATTTTAAAGGGCTGAAATTATCTTGCTTCTACTGGGACAGAAGCTGGGCAGAAGAAAGATGGGGGGGTCACTGCTTAAAGCCTCCAGGGACATGCTGCATGTCACCTTCCCTGGCAGGAGCTTGTTCCCCGACTTTCACTGCCTTACACAGCTGCCCTAAACCTGCTATGATGGCCTTTGTGGTCACTGTCCCCTGCTTCAACCATCCCTGTTGGGACACTGCACTGAATCACTGCCATTAGGAGGGGAAGAACATTGTACAAGGGCTGTGGCAGGCAACAGCACAGAATTAAAACCTACAACTCTTTCTAGAGACTTCTACAGCCTCCAGCTCCCTTTTAATGTCTGTCAAAAAAAGCACTTTGGAGGAGATGGGTTTTCCAGCTGATGGGAATGTATTGAAAGCAGGCTCAGCCTGCCAACAGTGCAGGGGCTCCTTGTGCCGCGTCTCCCCCAGGACTCTGCCTTCAAACAGACCCCTTCTTTTCTGGGCACTGAATGTCCCTGAGCATGGTCCATCAGGAATGGATGTGTTAGTCCCACCCAGGCTGCTCTGCGAGCACCACGTACCTGCAGGGCTGGGCAGCAGGGCTGGGGCAGGCGCTGGCACTGCTGGTGGAGCTGGAACCACGGGGGACGACGCGCGGGAGGTGACAGAGGCTGCTCCTGGCCTGGGAAGCAGCTCCCTGCCTCTGGGCAGGGGGGCTGCTGGGGCTGGGCCGGCGGGGGCCGGGCTGCAGGAGGTGGCTGGGCGTGCAGGGGCTGGGGATCTGCCCTGGGGTCCCCCCCGGCCTGGGAAGGCTCCAGAAAAGCTTGACCCAGAGGTGGCAGGGGCTCTGTTTGCCAGGCTGGTGGTCGGCTGCCTGCCCAGGGACGGTTGCAGGGCAGCAGGTGATGAGCCACCAGCAGGTCCTGGCCCCGGGATTTTTGCTCCTGGACTGCCAGCAGTGATACCAGAGGGAGGAAGGCCAGGGAGCCTTGGGCTCCCCCCAGGTGGGGAGTGAGTCTCCAGATGTGCCCCAGGAAGGAGAGGGATTACATCCCCTTGCCCTGTCACAGTTCCATGGAGCACAGCACTCCCTTCTCCAGGAACAGGGCTGTTGGCATCCCCAGAGGGGGCTCCGGGGCTTCCTGGCTGGTGGGGAGGCAGCAGCAAGGCAGGCCCCCCTGGCACAGCAGCCCCCAGCTCTCCCTTTCCCCCTGCAGAGGACCCCACTACCGACTCACGTGCCGAAAGCCCAGGGCTGGCAGACACTCCTCTCTGTGGAGCAGAAGGTGGCACTGGGGCGGCGTTGGGGGACATGGGAGCATGAGGGGATGCTCCTCCCAAAGGTGCTGGCATGCCTGAGGCCACCTCATCTTCAAGAGACCACGACTGAGAACTTCCAGCTTCTTCTGGCAGCCCACCTGGTGGCCCTGGCAGCAGGGGGCTGCTCCCACTCTGGGTGCTTGGTGCAGAGTCGGGGCCCCCATTGGGTGCCAGCCCCGAGCTCAGCCCCTGTCCAGGGAGAAGCAGAGAACCAGCCACGGAGGTGGTCATGCCACTGGAAACACCGCTGTTGTCTGGAGCCACTGGGACCAGGCTGGCACCAGGGGAAGGTCCCCCATTCACCGAGGCTCCTCCAGGCACCTCCACCACATTGACTGGGCTCAGTTTTCCATTGGAAAGTTCAGTATTGGCACCACTTTGGGTGCCAGGGGCAGACTCAGAGGCTTCTTGAGGGCCAGCAGCCTGCAAGCCTGTGTTCAAGCCACCAGCAGCTCCAGGAAGGCCTGATTCAGCAGCAGCCTCACCTGTCCTCCCAGGTGATGAAGACCCCTCTGTAGACGAGGAAGAAGATGCAGACTGCAACACACCTCCTGTTTCTCCATCAAGGCTTTCTGAACCAGCTGGTCCCATTCCAGTAGGAGCCTGGGACTGCCCTGTGGACCCCACATCACCAACCCCTTCACTTGCCCCTTCTCCTGCAGCAGGAAGGACCCCAGTGCCAGCACCCAGGGCAGGCTGAACACCTTCAGCAGCACTGTCTGCTCCTCCAAGGGCACCCAGGCTGGCTGGATCTGAAACAGAGGATGCTGCAACATCACTGCTGGGAGAGGCTGAGCCAGATGAGGAACCTGCACCAGGCAGTTCACCCTGCTGAGGACAAGTGCTGATGGAGGGGAAAGTTCAGCATTTGCCAAGTCTTCTGTTCCTGCAGTCAGCAGCTCTCCATTGTCAGCGGGAGATACTGAGGGCTGAAGGGCTGGAGGACTCAAGTCACTCTGGGTGTCTTCATAGGGACTGGCATCCCCTGAACCTTCTGCCTGTGCCACGTCCCCTACCCCCTGAGCTCCCTGACCTTGGATCCCAGCAGTGGGCTGTGCCAGTCCATCAGGTACAAAAGGTGCTGGGCTGGGGGCATCTGAATCTGAACTCAAGCCAGTGCCAAGTCCATCATCTTCCTGGGGAGCTCCAGCTGGCATCCCTGCTGGTTCTGGCTCCCCGAGAGACGGAGACACGGCTGCTTCAGGGCCCACAGCAAGGTCAGGGCTTGCTGGTGTCTCTGCTGCAGCATCAGCTTCAGGCAGGGTGCTGGCTCCAGCCTCCGGGGCCGGGTAAGCAGCCCCAGGAGCACTGGGGGTGTCTGTGGGGAATGTCAGAGCATCAGGAAGCAGCAGTGGCTGTTCTCCAGTGGGGGTCTGCTGTGGGGCAGGCTGGAGGGATGGACTGGCCAGATCCACAGCTCCCGCATCCCCTGCGGGCAGGGCAGAGGATGAGGCTGGGAGATTCGTGTCACTCTGTGCATCAGTGGGAGCCCCTGGTGCCGGCAGTGAGGTGGCAGTGTCCTCGGTTTCCTCAGGGGCCACTGGTGCCCTGCTGGCTGCAGGAGGCAAGGCTGAACCAGAGGCGTCTGATGACATCCCGGGAATTCCCTGCCCATCCCCATCCCCACCATTGGATGGTGTCAGCGAAGTGTCTGGGCTCAGAGCCTGGCCAGGGAGAAGGGAGGACTTCCCAGGGTTTTCCATTGCTCTTGACGTCACTGGGCTCTCTGGAGGTAGTTGGGATGAGTTGGCTGTGCTGAATTCACCATTTATTGCATCTCCTGGATCTCCATATTCTGAAGCCAAGGGACTTTCCTCACCAGCTGGGGCCATTTCTCCTGCTGGCTCTGGGGTAATGCCCTCAACCCCACCCACTGCTCCATCCTGCTGGGCTGGAAGCAGCTCCCCAGCATCAGGACTGGAGCCTGAGGATTTGGCACTGGCTTCACTTTGAATATCTTCAGGCAGGATCACACCTTCCTGGACTGCTCCCTCGGCTGTGGTCAGCCCTGGGCTCAGCAGCACAGTGACACCAGCAGTTGGCTGTGGCACCCAGGTGACTGCCAGTGCAGGGGTGGTGTGGAGGGGTGTGGTGCCAGTCATGAGATCTGTACTGGTGTCCTCCTTCACATCCTCAAGGACAGGGGTGGTCCCTAGAGGGACATCAGGAGAGACCTCTGGCTCATCACGCACTGCTTCTGGGGTGACAGCGGGGGGCTGCGAGGTGACAGCAGCAGTCGTGGCCGTATTGGGAGTAGCTGAAAGTCCTTCAGTACTCTGAGTCGTGTTAGGAGCCTTGGTCCTGTTCACCAAAGCTGGCACTGTAGGGCTGTATTCGCTCGTCGCCATCACCGGGTCCATCTCAGTCCAGGGAGGGAAGGTCTCAGCATCAGCTGCTGTGGTGCTCCTCTCTGTAGTATGGGGCCACTCGTCCTTTGTGGGGAAAGCTGTCCCCACAGTAAAGGGCCCTTCGGTGGTGACGGGGACAGCAGTAACAGCCCCAAGCCCTGCAGAGGAGCACAAAGTGGAGTGTTACTGTGGGAGCTGGAGCCTGCCAGGCCCAGACCCCTCTCCATGAGAATCACAAAGCTCCCACCATTTCTTAAACCCCTTCTGTCTCATCCCACAGCCTTACAAGGCCCTGATTTAAAAGCCAAGGAGTGCAGTCTGGGCTGCCTGGGGTACAGCACTGCACAGCACCTCTTGCATGCTCAGCATCAGCAGCTGGCAGTGAGGCTGGACACAGCTCAGGTCAGAGGGAGACACTGGTGCAAGCACGGAGGAAAAGCACCTGCTGAAACCCAGCCCAGTCATGCTGGGATGGTACTGAGATGCCTGGCCACGGGGCAGAGCTGGAGCCCAGTAAGTCTAGCTGATAGCCCTGGGGGTGTCTGTGGAGCTCTGCCACCTCAGGGCAACCCTCAGCCCCCTTTCCATCCCTGCAGGGACAGCTCCCAGCAGCTTCTGCAGAGCCTTGGGGGGTTCTGTGTTTTTTCACCTTTTGGGTGTCTGAGGGACATTTAAATAACTTTACACAAAGCCCTTTGTGAGACAGGAAAGCCAAGGCTTAGGGAAGACTTCCCTGACTGCAGATGGATTCTGATCTGCTGCACTTAAAGCAGGTTCAATAAAACTCTCCTGGGCTGGGTGCCTGCCTGCTCCTGCCCCCATCCCTCTTGCCTCCAGCTGAGTGAAGGCACCAGGAGTTCCCCACCCATGGAGGAAATATTTGCAAGCTCCCAGGACCAAGCCCTTCTTAGGGTTCTCTCCTCCTGCTGCCAAAATCCTAACCCACATGCAGGAGCTCTCTGAAAGGAGGAGACACCTGCCCACATCCCAGACGTGTCTCCCAGAACCTACTGGCACCCATGGGTGACTTTTCACACGGTCTTATTTTTAGGAGAGGAGCACAGGCTCTGGGGTGACCAAGGTGCCGTCGTTGGCCCCGTGAGGAGCCGGGTGGATCTGCTGACGTTTGGCTTTAAGGAGCTTCAATTAGGGGAGAAGAAGGGCACCCCGATGGCAAGATCCAGCAGGGCTTTGCCACAGCCTGACAGCCCCAGCCAGTTCCCAATCCCGGTGCTCCAGTTCATCAGGTTCCCCCTGACAGGCAACCAGATCTCCCTGCAGCAGAGGTGCCTCCAGCCTCACCGCCGGCCCAGCTCGTTAGCTCCCAGATAGCTTGAGCAGGGTCATTAAGGAATATTGGCTCCCATGCCAGACCAGTCCTCGAGGGGTCCATCCTCTGCTAGACCCACATTCCCCTTCCTGCCAGGCTGCTGCAGTGTCATCTTCCCAGGCTGGAAAAGGCTCTTTGTACCAGCCCCCTCAGCCGAAGGAGCTCAACAGCTTCCGTCCCCATCTCAGGGAAAACAAAGTACATCAGTCAAGTCACCCCATTTGAGTTCGGTCCACTCGCCTCGGTAAATCACTGTTTTATCTTAATTCTTCACTGTGGAGCAGGAAACACCATCTACCCCACACACCCATTCATGGGAAGTTTGTGCAAGAGGGGCCCCAGCATGCAGCACCAGCATTTGCTCTTCCCTGGGATGTGGGAGGGATGGGAGCATCCCTGGGTCCTGCTCTGCCAGCTGGCTTCTCTTGGCTGCTTTGCTGGAGGGGTGCACAGCTGCCTGCAGGCTTCCGGGCTGGGCTCTCACCTCTCCCACGGCTCCACGCCTGCAAGCAGCCCCTCGGGGTGATGCCTGCCCTGTGAAATGCTTTTCCAGCTCTTTGGCTGCAATGCCTTGCAAGGACTGGTTGTAAGAGGAGTTTCCAGTGCAGCCGAGAGCGAAAAGCATCTCACAGTGTGCACCCTGAGAGGGCTCGGGTAGCACATGGGCCAGCAGAAAAATATCGGACATACCGTGCAGAATCCATGTGCAGCATCCCAGCAAGGTGGAGAGCGTCCATGCCCTGGTCCCCATGCCTCAGGCCTCCACACAGGCAGAGCGCTAGGAAGCTCAAAGGGAGGAGAGAGCAGCAAGGAGCAGCTCCCTCCGTCCCTCCCTGCCTGCCACTCCTGCAGAGCTGGAGTCCCACAGGTGCTCCTGCTCCCTCCTATTTATAGGGATGGCAGAAGGAGGCAGGTTGCCGACGTCCTCTCCCGCCCCCGGTCCCTTCCCTCCACTGTCCCTGTCACCCTTCCCTTCTGGCTGAGCCCTCCCCTTCCCAAGGCCTGGGTGCCCTGTTCAGCTGGGCATGGGCTGGGTGCACCCAAAGCCCACCTGGCAGGGACACACATCTCCCCAGGCTCTCTCCTGGGCTCAGCCTGGTGCAGCTCCCTGGGCTGCAGCACCAGAAGGTGAAGCTGAGCCCAGAGGTGTGTGTGGCACTGCCAACAATGGCATGGCAGTCACCCCACACAACCTGTTCCCCATGGCAGTCACCCCACAGACCCCACAGAAGCTGCTGCACATGCAGGGCATGGGGCCACAGAGCAGAGTGTGGTGGTGACAGGGCAGTGCCAGCTGGTGTCCCCATGCCTGTGAGGACACCATGGACACTAAAACCACCAGCTGAGCCATGTCTCAGCCCACAGCAAGGCAGGACACAGGATGTCTCCACGTGGGTCCCCCAGAGCAGAGTCAGGTTGTAAAGCAGGGAAAGCATGGCTGGGTGAGGCCCTGGGGTGTCAGCTGAGCTGCACAGTGCTCAGCTGCAACTAGGAGCACTGGGGATCCCTCTGCAGAGCCCCAGCACACCCCAGTGGGGTGGGAAACCTGCACCTCAGTCTGGGCACAGCAGTGCTGGGGTGCTGGGAGGGGGTAAATGGTCCAGGGAAGCTTCTCTGCAAGGTTGGACCAGCATCCCCAGAAGATGAAGCAGGAAAAGGAACAGACCCAGACCCCCTTCCCTGCTGTGGGGGTTCCCTGAGTCACTTCACCCCTATGTCTCATCCCCTCCTCCTCCTGGAGCAGCAATTCCTGCACACCCCCTTGAAAACTGCTGCCAGCTCCCCTGTGAACAACATTATGCAAACTCCCACCACTACAGGGTTTTGTAGTCAATTAAACACTTCTCAACCAGAAATGCCCCCAGGCAACTCCTGCAAAGTGTTATGAGGGGTGTCAGGCAGTACACGGTGTCCCGGGCAGGCAGCACGTCCAGTGACACCCCGAGCCAGCAGCGGGCCCGGGATGGGGAAACGCCGGGGGGGCCAAGTCACGGCTGAGAGAGCCCATCCTGCAAAACCCACGCAGCACCCCCGGCAGGGGGAACCGGCACAGA